AAAGAAATGTTTAAGTGGACATTTTATGGTAGATTTCACGTGTTACGTGTGCATTTTTTGGGAAGCATGAGTTTTATTGCCGTTATTCAATCCATAAGCCAATAATTTCCAAAAGAGTGGACAATTTTTCTCGCATCACACATCCTTTCTGCTTTGATATTTTTAACGGCTGTCACATGCAACCCCAAACGCTTCAGGATATTGAAACCTTTTATTTTTTACAAGAAATGTTTGGATGTAGTATACAGGATTTTAAGAAAATATATAAAAAAAATTAAATTTAAAACGCCCTGTATCTTAAAATAAAGCGGTTTGTATATCTAAGTTGTTATGAACTTTCTTCTTAAAATGTCCAAATAGTATATTGTTATTATATTAAACTTGAGGGTATAATTTACTTTATAAAACCAACACAATGTTTTTATGTGAAAGACATTTGCGGTGATTGAAGTCAAAACACAGCTATAAAGCTAACAAAGAGAGAGAAAATTGAATCTTATTATTATTAAATGAAGTGTTGAATTGTCCGAGGCGAGGCGAGAGAAATAAAAAGAAATACAAAGAAATCGGGTAAAATCGAGAGGTGGTAAGGAATGTAGTGGAAAATACGTGATCGTTCATCAGAAAAGCAATGGCTCGTTGAGGTGGACTTGAAATTTACGATCCCGACATTTTATTAGTGCCATCGAAATTTACAGAGGGTGTTTTATGACTCTATATGTGTAAGCAAATCTTACTGTGGTGGTTAAAAAATGATAATGTTGATTTACTTGACTTAAAAAAATTATAAGCTATTTAATTTTTATTTTTAAGAAAACATAACCTCAAATATGTGGGAAATATAAAGGTTTTCAGTTTTTTTTTAATTATTTGAGAATCGCTGATTTTTTCCAATTTTTAAATGGCGTTGTAGCTCCTGAAATAAAAATATACCACATAGAAGAATACTTGGTACACCCTGTATATAAATGAATGTCCTGATCCCGTCCCATTTCCGTCTTGTCATTAAATACTTTCAAAAAATGGCGAATGCGCCGGGATTAATCGTATTAATTTTGTAGTGGCCTATTTAATTGTTAAGTATTTAAATTAAGGTAATGGGTACTATGCTCCACACCTCAAAGTCCCACCACGTGACCACGTAAGGAACGCAGTCTTTTGAAAATTTGGCATTTAAGGCTTTTTAGATTATATATCTGTCAAAGTATAGTTAAAAATGTATAAATCTTTATAACATTACAATAACAATGGATGGTTTAAGAATTTAAGAATATAAATACTGCATTTAATGAAATTCTAAAGGGTATGGTGCCAAATAAGTAATATTTTTGTGCATTTGGTCCAAATATCTGGTTTTCTCCATACAATAATTTTAACTAAACAGCATTTATTAAAAAAAATCTAGCTTCTCTATTATGGAATAAGAATATCTGTTTTAAAGGTAGGTTAATATATTGTAACAAAAATATCATCTAATTTTGTAATTTTAAGGTTAGAAAAATTTATTTTCACCAAAATAAATAAGTATTTTGGGTTATTTAAAAGACTGTATAATATGGTATTTAAAAATGTGGTAGTTTTTCTTATCCAGCTTAAAGTGTACCTACATAAAGTTTTGTCGATACAAATAGTTAAAGAGCTTCGACTGAACTTGATCTACATGGGAAAATCATTATAACTTTAAAATTTTTAATAAATCACATGTCATTGAGTATTAAATATTTTCACATTGCAAGTTTCTCTAAAAATTGTTTGTTTTCTTATAATCTAACTTAAAGTAGGTATGCCGAGAGGTATGCACAAGTTTTGTCATTAGAAGTATAAAAGCTTCAATTTAATTTGAACCATATTCAACAATTATTTAGTATACCTATATTTATTTATGACCATATTAACACACTCTTTCAAATAATCCACTTATTTATTTTGGTCAAAATAGATTTTTCTAACCTTAAAATACAAAATTAGATGATATTTTTTGTTCTAATACATTAACCTACCTTTGATACAGATATTCTTATTTCATTATAGAGAAGTTAGATTTTTTTAAAAAAATGCTATTTAGTTAAAACTATTTTATAGAGAAATGTAGACCCAATGCACAAAAATATCACTTATATTGCACTAATTTCATTAAATTTAGTATTTATATTCCTAAATTCTTAAACCAACCATTGTTATTGTGATACTATAAAGATTTATTAACTTTTAACGCTTAAACATAAGCGGTAACACTATAAATATTATTTCTTTCATTGACTATACTTTGACAGATACATAACCTGAAAAGCCTTAAATGCCAAATTTTCAAAAGACTGCGTTCGGTACGTGGTCACGTGGTGGGACTTTGAGGTGTGGAGCATAGTACCAAAATTAAAAGTTTTTGTTAAATCCCAAATAAGTGGACGAAATTCCCTAGATTTTGTCCAGAAATTCCCTTTTTTTAACAATCGAAAAAAAACCTAGAACTAGGTAAAAAAATCCTTAGATTGGGTATATTTTAATTTGGGTGACATTCACAATATCGAAATTCATTATATCGAATTCAAAATATCGAACACTTTTTATCGAAAATCAAAATATCGAAAATCATAATATCGAAAATTAAAATGTTGATTTGAAATTGTCGAAATTTTATTTAATCGAATTTTCAATTTATCGAAAATAAAATTTCGACCGCTGTCATACAGGTTATAACGAATAGCTGTCATCTTGGTTATGCAGGTACACTGCATTGTGCCATACCAAACCAACCCAAACTTAACAACCCAACCCAACCGACCCCGCCCCATTGGGCCCCTCCCGCCCCATTGAGCAATAGAGGTATAATATATCTAAGGGCAGGCTGGATTGTGACAATGGGGCGGGAGGGGCCCAATGGGGCGGGGTCGGTTGGGTTGGGTTGTTAAGTTTGGGTTAGTTTGGTATGGCACAATGCAGTGTACCTGCATAACCAAAATGACAGCTATTCGTCATAACCTTGAGGAATACTTTGCTACATTTAGCCTCTAGTTGAAAATGAGGTTAAAATATGCGACGGTTGAGCACACACATTTCTACGTCCGTCCGACGGTCGAGCACACACTTTTCTACGTCCGTCCGACGGTCGGGGAGACACTACCTTTAATTATTCGACATTTTCAAATCGACATTTTAATTTTCGATATTATCATTTTCGACATTTTGAATTTTCGATATTTTGATCTTCGACATTTTGTATTTTCGATATTTTGATTTTCGATAAAAAGTGTTCGATATTTTGAATTCGATATAATGAATTTCGATATTGTGAATGTCAACCCTTTAAATTTAATGTATATTTATAATAATATGTATAATATAATATAATGTAATATAACTTACTTGTTGTAAAGAAACATAATACATTTTATTTATTTTTAAATTAAAGGAGTATTTTGTAAGCAAGAGTAAAGTCTATTTTCAAATTCCCTTTAAACATTTTGAAATTTTGTCCTGAAATATTTCGGCATTCTTGCCGAAGATCTTCAATAAAATGAGGCATGGATTTTAAGTTACCCCATGATAAAAAGTCTGACGGTGTCAGATCGGTAGATCTGGACGGCAATTCTATGTTGTCCTCTTTTACAAGCCCACTGCTTTGGATAATTCTTATCCATCCTTAAAAATGCTGGTTACACAGATGTTATATTTTATTTTGTTGGTTGCCAATCAAAAAAACAATTTTAATTTAAATTGACAATAAGCGGAACGCGAAACACAGGAAAAATTGAAATTGAAAGAGACATTTGTGCTGTTTCCACGAATTCACGTATGAATTTTTGCCAGTCTCTGGCTTAGCTCTGCCTGCAGGCAGTTCGTGTTGTATGCTTTGTTGTTTGTTGCTGTATTGTTGTATCTGCAAAATGTGGGGTGAATGTAGGTGCTGATGTAAAGTTTATATAAATAAAACAAAAAATACTCCTTTAACAATATTTTTATTGGTTTTTATACCACACACTTGTATTGCTTTAATATTAAGTAAAACAAGATTAATCACAATCATAATCATAATATCAATAATAATGCAAATCTCCCCTTCTGGATCACGTCGAAAGACAAAAGCCTTCACCGTCTGGGACGTTAAAGACACGGTATATACATGGTGAATTACACCGTGAATAAAGTAATTTAAAACCATGAAAGCCTATGATCTGCACTGGGCACCGAGCTTAAAATTTCATAAAAGCCCCGGCTGGGTGGGTGGGTCGGACCCCCCCTTTATCCCGCGTCCCTTTTCTCAAGGCCTGGCCGAAGCCAAGAAGCAGTTCCGTCAGAACAATGGACTCGTTAATTAAGAGCCGTTCTTTTCGGAGACTCCAGCGGCACGAAATGATTTCGGAAACGCCGACGTCCCGATGAAGAAAATTTCTGACGGCAGATGAAGGATTTAGACTTTAGATTTAATTCATTTTTGATGTAAATAATCAGTTTAAACGTTTTATTAGAATCTTGTAGAATAAAATCAAAAACGCATTTTAAAATATAAGACATTTTTAAGATAAAATAATAATAATTCTACCGACTGCGCCATATACAAATTCTGATAAAATCTGCAATTTAAATAAAATTGGACAAAAGTTTATGGTCAAAGAAAATATTTATAGAATTCAAAGGGAAATTTTAGCTTTCAAGTGCCTTAGTTACAATACATTTGGAGTCATCATCAGTATAAACGTTTTATTAGAATCTTGTGGAAGAATATCAAAAACGCATTTTTATATAAGGCATTAACAAAGCTAAGATTTTCGAAATGTTTAAACACTGGTTGAAACAATATTAAATTACATTTTTAAGATAAAATAATAATAATCCTACCGACTGCGCCAAATACAAATTCTGATAAAATCTGCAATTTAAATAAAATTGACCAAACCTGAATGGTCAAAGAAAATATTTATAGAATTCAAAGGGAAATTTTAGCTTTCAAGTGCTTAGTTACAATACATTTGGAGTCATTGATGTGGTTTCTTTGATTTCAGGTAGACGAGCGACGAACTGGAAAAGAGAGAAGAATAGAAAATAGGTATGTCATAAATTTCAATTATGTTTTTGATATAATAGTTCCCCAAATTAAATCATTAATATGAAAAAACTTTAAACTGTATTTGAAAATGTTATGATAAAACCGTTTTGATACCTGACAAATCCAATTTTCTCGATTCCCAGACCCTCGGTATGTTTCTGTTTCGCGTTTCGACGTATTCAAACATAATAAAATATGTATCGTGACACACGACCGCAAAGATTTATACAAAAATGTCACGAATGATTTAAAACAAGGGCTATCCAAACAAATGCTGTATATCAAATTGTTCGATTTCAAATAAATTAAATAACGAAAACAAACAAGATTTTTTTTCTCAATATTTTACTTACAAAAGACATTCATTATAATGTATGTATTTTTAAACCCTTTAAGAGTATTTCGTGGTACCAAATAAATTAAAATATAACATGTTAAATGAAATTTGCATTGAAGAGGGAACCGAGGTCCGGAATGAATATTTCATAACAATATTTGCGGTAGGTATAAAAATTGAATGTTTCGGGTTAACAGGCAGGAGTGGCAGGCAGCAGGAGAGTGGTCTTTTCCTGCTGCTGCTGCTGGGGAGGCCCACGTCACTCAAGCGGCATTACGACGTTTCACAAACACACGGTTTAATCTTTTTTTAAAGAGGGTCGGGTTTAGTTTGCTAATTAAGAACCATTTAGAGTGTCATTTTTCAGTTTGGCATTTTTTGCTACCGCCCCCACCGCCGCCGCATTTAATTCCAAAGCCCGACTTAATAAACGCTGGTTTAATCGTATAATAAAGGCACTAGAAATATGATATCAACATCGATTTCTTATTTGCGTTTTTTTATAAAAAAACATTTGTTAAATATAATTTGATTCACGATGGTGTTACCCAGTGATATTTAATAAAACTAAATCAATTTGACCTACACTTTTATTTTGATTAATTATTTTTTATAATGTTTTAAAAGTCTAAAACCTATCCTCAAAATCCTAAAAATATCAGTTCACTAAGTAAATTAAACACATCAAAAGCAATCGAATCAAATATAAAATATTATTAAAAATTAAAAGAAATAATTTTTATAACCATTTATGTAGGTGTTACAAAATTTGATTCTATCCTCCGTGAATCTGTGTTTGCTTTAAATTTTATTAAACGGATGGCGCTTTAATCATTTTAAATAAGCAAAAATCTCGGTTTACGACATTATTTAGATACATGTGATTCCTGAAGGTCAGTTAGAATTTATAAGCAGATGAGAGTGTTGCTGTTTTATAATTAAAAAGTTTAAGTTAATTAATTTGTTATTTAAAAACATATCCACTGTGAAGTGTAATATCTCAGTAAGTAGGTTTTTTATAAATATTTTATATATATAAAATATTTATTTATTACTAGAATTGGTGGCTTCCCAAAAATCCTATTCTAGACTAACAGTGAAACAACCAAAAATAAAAAATATATTATTTTTTTTATATTAAATACATATTTACTTTGTGGTTCACGGTTAAATGTAAGAATGAGTTGTAACAATAAATGTTACAAGTCAAATTTCGCCATAGTACAGTCATCTTAGTCAAAAAAAGGGATCAACCTCTGAATCTAACGGAATAATAAAATTTTTGTATTTTCGAACCGTTTTTGAAATAGAGGGCGCATAGTGTGGAGCGCTCAGCCATACGTACAAGCGCAAGGTAAATCGTGAATCCCAATCTATTATACCGTTTTTTTAATTAATTATATAATAAATATTACTAAAATAAAAATTTAATACCTTATACTTATACCTATTAATTTTTCTTTTAAATCAAATATATTTTATCTTCATATATATATCTTATATTTTAATTTAATTTTAATGAAGGATAATTGGATCGGAGTAGGAAAAAATGTTTTTATTTATATCAATATTATTATTATTATTATTATTTTTATTAATCTTTATCTTCTTCATCCTCGTCTTCTTCAGGTTGGCCAGCAATTTTAGACTCATTCTCATCATCACTCTCATAATAATAATAAATTGTCATTTCTTCAAAAACTTACTTATAACGCGTTTGTACTTTGCTGATTTTTTTGCCTTTGTTGCCTTATCTGCGATTTTACTAAAAAATAAGCACAATATTTTAAAATCAAATTTTCGACACTCAATATGAACATTTATAAAAGTATTTAGGTAGTTTATGTTTATTTCTCTCAACAATTGCTTCTTTTAAAGTCTTTAAATTGTTATTTAAGAAATATTTAATAAATAATTAATTAAAAAAACGGTATAATAGATTGGGATTCATGATTTACATTGCGCTAAAGGTACGTATGGCTGAGCGCTCCACACTCTGTGCCCTCTATCTCAAAAACAACTAGACGTATAAAAAAAATGTTTTAAACAAAATTTGTAGAGAATTTTATTCTCTACAACTTGTATAATAAATGCAAATACGATAGGAGGCAGAGAAAAGGAGATATTATCAAAAAATTGATTTTTGCGACCTTTGACCTTGAATATCTAAGGCCCCTCACACGTTGGCATATGTGACTTTTGAGACAACATTTACAATGCTAAAATAAAGGTTTGTACAAAAATTCAGCTTATTCCGTTGAAATGCCTAGATGACTGGACTACCATTTGAGATTGTATATTTATTTTCCCAATAAAGACGTTTATTATTATTATTATTATTTCATTAATAAATAGTTTGTAAAAATGGCGAATGCGCCGGTACTAAATTAAAAAACTGATAATAAAAAAATAAAGTTGTTAACAACTACTAATTTTTCCGCTACTTTATTTATATTTCAAATAATTTAACTAAAAGTTATTGATATAACTAATTCAGGGCTACCACACCTACTAAAACTCATAAAATTCCTAAAATTTGGCTTAAAACTTGAAAACTCATAAAATTCTCCTAAAATTTCCATCAATCTCGTAAAACTCCTAAAAATAACATATATATATATATATATATATATATATATATATATATATATATATATATATATATATATATATATATATATATATATATAAGGCAGTTGTCGTGATAAAAAATTTCTTTATTAAAAGGTAATCTAAAAAATTTATATTTTTATCTACTCCTACATTGACGAGCTTTGACTTTATGGCGTTTTAGTCATGGGCTGAAGTTAGCAACAGTGGCTTTTGGGCATTTTAGTCACAGCCTGAAGTTGGCTTTATTATAATATAGGGAAAAGTGACGTTAAATCAATTAAAAGTTGACAAATGTCAAATGTTTAACAAATAAAATTGGCTTTAAATTATTTTTTATTTTCGTCGTAGATAGTAAATTATGCAACTTGTTTTATAAACTTCTCTAGACACTCGTTTTTATTAAACACTTCCAAGCTTCGCTCATACCTAATAAAACTCGTAACTAAAATGGCGTTTATAAAACTTGATACATAGTTTATTAAATTATTTTTAAAATAATATATCACAACCCAATTTTTCTTAAAAAACAACAATATAAACCTAAAAAACCAAATCCATGCAATAGCTCCTAGACTTCTACAAAATTGTCATTTTTAGCCATATTTTGACAAAAATGTACCGTGTTTAATTAATTTTTAATTTTTTTTTAAATTCATAAGTTTTTATGTTGAGATTTTTAAGTATCAAGATCCACATTACAATTATTGTTAGTTATTAACTAAACGGTTAACATTTTTTTCCGTAAAATATAAATAGGACATCATTTGACTTTGGCCCCCTTGTACCTCAGATAAATACAAAAGTAGTAATTTTACCTCACTTTTAATTTTATTAAAAAAAACTCGTCGAGCGATTTGGTTAAAAAAAACTAGTCAATGTAACTTATTAGTACAAAAGAAGTGATATTTTTTTATATTTTTGTTAAAAAGAATTATATATTTTTTCTTATTTTTTAAGTAGGTACACGGAAAAAAATCTATACTGATTCCAAGAAAATTCAACTCTATCCAAGTATAGCTTAGTTTCCCTATTCCGCAAGTAAATTTATACTTGTTTCAAGTATCCCCATATTCTTATAAAATAAAGATAGCTTCGGTTTAATCTAAGATTACTGCTATACTAAAAATAAGAAACACACTAATTTTGAGTTAAGTATACAATTTTGTCTTCAATGAAGACTACGGTATTCTTGTTGTAACGTTAGTATGTACTTCATCAAAGTATAGTTTCTTTGTAAAATCTTTACAGTATTCTTGTTTTAAGTCAATGTAACTTATTAGTACAAAAGAAGTGATATTTTTTTATATTTTTGTTAAAAAGAATTATATATTTTTTCTTATTTTTTAAGTAGGTACACGGAAAAAAATCTATACTGATTCCAAGAAAATTCAACTCTATCCAAGTATAGCTTAGTTTCCCTATTCCGCAAGTAAATTTATACTTGTTTCAAGTATCCCCATATTCTTATAAAATAAAGATAGCTTCGGTTTAATCTAAGATTACTGCTATACTAAAAATAAGAAACACACTAATTTTGAGTTAAGTATACAATTTTGTCTTCAATGAAGACTACGGTATTCTTGTTGTAACGTTAGTATGTACTTCATCAAAGTATAGTTTCTTTGTAAAATCTTTACAGTATTCTTGTTTTAAGAATATAGGTACTTTCTTTAAAATTTATTTATTTATACTTATTGTAAGTTCACGCTTTACTTGCATAAAATGCTTGTATTCTTACTTTTCCTTTTTTTATATTTGATAAAAGTATAGTATATATTTAAAATAACTTTACACTATTCTTAAAGAAAGTGGTTGATTGGAAAAAAAAAATTCCCTCGTCTAGCGACTCGGATATAATTTTTACAAAAAAAAACCATTCGTGACCCTGAAAAATATTTGTATTAATTATCCTACCACTACGGAAAATACAAGTGAAAGTGAAAATATAATCGTTATGAGAGTAATAGGTTTATTACCTAACAGTCTTAGAGGTATTAGAAAAAGTACTGTCAATTTATATAAATTGATTCTTTCACGGTTAATTAACATA